TGCTTTGAATCTAGAGAGACAATGGTGAATCTTCTAATGTAGGAATATATTATAGTTTTCACTTACACTTTAGGCTTTCTTTCATTTTTCTCAATGATATGTTGTAGTTTTTACAAATTTCTGTTTGATTTCTTGTTAGTTAATTTATGTTTTGTGGTGGTAATGTAAAATTACATTGTTTCTCCAGTAGTTATAGTTTCATAGAAATGCACTTGATCTTTTCATATTTGCCTTGAAGTTTACAGTATCTATATATTAAATTATTTAGTTCTCATAAATTCACTTATTAATTCTAAAAGGGGGTTTTTGTTTATAGTTTTTATATAATTTTCTATATATACAAACATGTAATGTGTGTATAAACATAGCAATAATTTTATTTCCAGCCTGTCTTTTTTTGTTGTTTTTTGCCTGTTCACTGGCTGGAGATTTCAGATTTTAGTACAATGTTGAATAGAATTGAAAAGAGCAAACATTCTTGTTAAATTGCAGGGTTAAAATGTCAAGTACCATATTTGATTTGTGAATGTTTTATTGACAACTATTTTGCTTATGCTCATGGAGGATATTGGTCTATAAATTTATTTTGTTTTACAATATCTTTTGCAGATTCTAGTGTCAAAATCAGGATAATGCTGGCCTCATAAAATAAGTTGAGGAATGCACCCCCCTCCTTAGTTTTCTAAAAGTGTTAGCATAAATTTCTATATCAAATGATCATTAATTTATGGGAAACAATTTGAAGCAAAAATATTTGGAGGATAGAGATAATTTTGATTATAAGCTCAAAATAAATGTCATACTTCTTAAAAGTAATTGATTAAATATAATTTAAATTTCCTATATATGGAGCTAGTTATATTTTCTACCTCATTTGTCAGTTTTAAAACTTTTACTGATGAAGAATTTGTGGATTTCACTTATAGCCTTAAATCTATTGGCATGAAGCTACTTATAACATCATCACAGTATCATTTTAAACCTGTATAATCCTTAGTAACTGTTTTCATCTCTAGTATTAGTAATTTCTATGTTCTTTCTTTTCTTATTTATTAGGCTTAGTAACTTACATATTTTATTAAAATTTTAAATAAATCAACTTCTGATCTTACTTCAATACAGTTCAGTTTTTCTTTGTTTTATGCTTTTTTAAAAAATCATTTCATTTTTTTCTCCACAGTTGAATTTAAGTTCCTCTTCTGGAATGAACAACTACATCACTGATTTTCTAATATAGACATTTAAAAACATACGTTTCTCTCTAAGAACTGTTTTATCTGCATCTCACACATTTTGATATTTTGTTTAATTTTATTATGTTTGAAATATTTTCTGATTTTTTGATGCATGTATCATTCATAATAGTTTCTCTAAATTTTCAAATTGGAGATTCTGTAGATGTTCTTTTTTTTGTTTCATAATTTTTTGCCACTGTAGACAGAGTACATACTCTGGATAATTTGTCCTTTGAAACTGATTGAGACTTTTTTTATAACTCAACATATGGTCCATGTTGATGGATGTTTTCTGTGCTGTGGTAAATTCTACCATCGACTACAATGTTCTACAACTTTTAGTTAGGTCAGTTTGTTGACAGTTATATTCAGACATTCTATATCTTTAGTAATATTTTTATCTAGTTCTGTTAATTACTAATATAGCATTGTTAGAAATATCTGCTTGTGCTTGTTTTATTTTTGCTTTGCTTGTTTCATATATTTTGAAATGCTTTTATTAGGTGCATATAGATTAAGGATCATTATGTCTTCTTGATGTTTTGGTGTTTATTCATAATGAAATGAGGGTCTGGTAATAGTTACCTTGATATTTACTTTGTGTGGTATAGAACATGTGGACTCTGTTATGCTCAGTGTCTAAAAGGAATACCTTTTTCCACTGCAGTGATTTTTCTCTTGCTCAGTTTTGTATGAAATTAGTTTTACAGAGTTCTTAGAATGAAGAGCTGCCTAAAGATACTTCCCAGATTCACTACTTTGGAATCTCCTATTTTTTTGCGTTTGTGCAGTGTTTAAAAAAAAAAAAAAAGACCTCATACTCTGAGGTTTTCCCACTTCAGTATACCAACATCTGCTATTTCCTTTATCTTGAGTTTATCCTTCACCATTTGAGTTATCCTAACAAAGCTGTAGAGCTTTGCTACAGAAGGGAGTTTTTCTTGGTTAGGGCTAAATGTTCTAGATATCCCAGACTTCCCCCAGGCCTTTCAATTTTAATTTATATAGATCCTTTCTCCTATTCCAGGAATTAGAGTTTGTAAGACTCCTTCACTTGGAGTTTTCAGGTCGATCCTGACATTTTTCAGGAATACCTGTTTGGGGGTTGGGAATTCTGTGTTTACAGGGTCCCTCTGGTGCTACCTGCTGCTTCCTCCTAGCTGATGATATTAGCACATGGGTTTTATGCTGTCAGTGGTTTGCCCCTACTTACGTGTTTTCTGGGGGGTTGTGGGAAAATTGGTTACCTTGTGCCTGTGTACATCTTCCTTTGCTCTCTGTGTCATATTCTCAATTGACACTTGTTCCTTTACCCTAATCCCTTCCAAAGAAGTAGCTATGAATTTGTTTCTTTTTATTGAGACTCAGGACATTAGTCAATTTCACACTGACTTTAAAGCACTGTTGGATACTCATTTGTTCACAGATTTGTAAAATTTTACAATAGCTGCATTTTAGTGGAAATTTTTTGCCTCTTATAAAATTAATGCATATCCTGCTGTTTTGTTTTATAACTGGCAAGGTCCTTTTCATTAATGGCAACCTTTTTTCCTACCTATACATAAATAAATTAAGGCTCAGAAGTTAAGTTCCCTGCCTAAAGTTATGAATGTTAGGACACAGCCAAGAAAATGTTACTTAATAATTAAAGCAATTATTAGTATCAGAAGCTCCTGTGCATATCAGTAACTAAAAAATGTTTTCAAGGAACATGATCACATGAGTATTAGTAAATCAGCTTCAGTAGAATTAGGTATTTTAAAAAAATCATTAGAAGATACATTTATTTAACACGCATTATAAATATATAACATTTTTATGTAAAATAGTGTGCAATATAAATACATTTATGTGTGAACACTCAACTCATGCTTTGGAAATTATCGTCCCAATGAACTTTAAAACAAATTTTTGATAGTCTCTGTTTTACCCTGGTGAGAAGTCAAAACATAATGATGTTGGCTTGCTCCTGTTACGAGTCCTAGGGTCAGGACTCAATACTCCACATTTTTGCATTCTAAACATTATATTCTTACCTTTATGCAGTATTCTTTGTAATAAAACTTTCAGAATGTTTCAAGACTGCTGAACAGATGAACCAGCTATTACAGCTCTGATATGTCTGTTGAAAGACAAGGTTTGCAATGTAACAGTCAATTTGATGAAGTCCAAGTATCAGAGAAGTTATGAAAAAGAATAAATGAACAATTGAAGGATTTGATGCTTAATTCCAGCCTAGCTGGTCACAAATGCCCTTCTAGCATATAGGGAAAATGACCAGTTTTCCCAGGAGGATACATATGTATACTTTATCAGTTTTAATAAAATATGTTCTAGATATATCCTAGACCATTTATGCTTCCTGGGCATAAGTGACAGTTCTAACACTATCAGCACATTCTACAGACACATGCTAATGTCATTACCATTGCTCATGGCCTCCAAGTTCTCAAATGCTCTACTCACTTCCCAGCCCACCTTTCAGGATTAAGTGACTATGTGATATCAGTTTTTTCTGGTAGGCCAACTAGGGAGAAACATAATTCCTGAGACCCTCAAATGTGATCAAATTAGCATTTCATCTCTTAGGATCTCAAAACTGGTGATCCTAAGAATTTTGTTGCTCAGAGATAGTCACAAAGAGAGTTTAAAAATAGAGTAGATTAGTCACACATTGGTAACCCATATTTGGGGTAGCTCTTAAATTTTCATGTGTGGTGTTCAATCTCGTTTACCTTTTGAACAAACTTACCATAAAGGTCATGTTTTTTAATTTTTTGTATTACTTTTCATAGTAGAGATTTGGAATAAGCTTTATGAGGAGCTGAATACAGAGATATGTATTACTGTGTGTATGTATTTTTTAATCATTGAGCAAAATCAAGTTGCCGGAGAAGTTGTTACTTTAGGGTAAATCAGATTAAGCTTTGTGTAGCAGAAATAGTTTGGGCCTTAGGCCAAAGTAAAATGGAAAGGACAAGGATTGTTTGCATGGCATTCCTGTATGCAACATCTCTGGCCTTGCTCTGATCAGCCATTGGGGCTGGCATTGTCAACTGTTGGCAGGGACCTTTTCAGGGCATTATTCATGGGACTTTGTTACATTTTAAGCCCGTCATTTACTTGTTGTATGTTCTTTGTCAAACAGTCTTGTTGGGACCCCTGAGCCCCATGTAGCTCAAATATATTGCAGCCACTGAATTGCACCTTCCAAAGACTGACTCTGATGTCAGCTTCCTGTCACAGTGCTGGCTGCCATATTGGTATCTGGTCAATGGTAGCACTGACTTTTTCAGTGTCTGTTAGGAATCTTGCTTACCACAGCACACTCCCTTCCTAATCTATATAGGAAGACAATAGCATGCAAACAATATAATATAAAAGTAGAACACATATTAGTTTGGGGACAAATGAGTGATATGTTTTCTTTTTAGAGTTTAGAAAAAAAATACAGGTCCACCAGTTATAATATGTCTCAACTTGACTACAGGTCCATTCTAAAATGTGTCGAACACATATCTGTTCATTGAAAATGGAATTGGATTGGGGTATTTGTCAGTAAATAGAGAATTCTGTTCAGCTGCAGCTCTCTGTATCTGAAACTCTGGCATAAACCCATAAAGAAGTACTGTTCGTACCTGAAGACTTAGAATCCTCTTGATAATAATAATTGTGCATGTATGAAATCAACATTTGAATGGAGAAAGAATATCCCATATTGGAAAGTAATCATAGCTTTTATGTTGTGTGTGCATACTTTGACAGCTTTTTGGAGACTACAGCCTATTTCTTCATGAAACCAAAAATTGGAGAGAAGGAGGTGTCCCCAAATGTTTTCTTCAGTATCTGGCATGAATTCAGCTCTGACTTTAAAGACTTTTGGAAGAAAGAGAATAAACTTATCCTACAAGAGAGGTAGGTATTTTCATTTGCACAATGGCATTTGCAAAACAGGTATTTTATTAGGTGTGACTCTGCTGGGGCTGCCAACTTTTATAGCCTGAACAAAAATTAGATGGCCCTCACCCTCGGGTAGCAAGTCAAAGAAGGTGCTGACATTTAGCACCATTTGGAGTTTGAATGAGAAGAATCAGTTATGGCTGTGATGCAACAGAGAATAGCTAGAGATGGGGTGGTTTTCCAAGACCACTGTCTGGTAAAACGACTTCTGTCATGAGGAAACCACAAAAACATGAACCACATAAGAAATGTTGATCCATCTTGCTGGAATGCTAAAGCCATCCACCTCTAAAAATGGACAGCAAAGACTGCAAAGGTAAGAGGAATAGTTTTGTGTTTGTTTTCACTCAATTCAAGTGATATGGTTACCATTCATATCAACATTTCACCCAGATATCTCCAAGAAACACAGAGAATAATTTTTAAATATTCTTGTGGAATAGCATCACATTTCTTACAATAAATCTTTGCAGAATGAAAGAGAAATTTTTCTCTTAAATATGTGGAATAATGTCTCTGATTATAAACATTCCGCTGAAACAAATATTAAGTCACAAAGAAAGCTATCCCTCCGGGGCAGTCTCCCCAAATACCAGACTCTGGTAGGGAAATGAAAAGGCAACATAATCCAGACTCTAAAGCAAACCCTAATGCTAAACCCGTTACTGCACTTCCTTTACTAGCAAGGACTTTGCTTTAGATCTTTAGAAAATTTAAACCTTGAGGGACTTGGCTCATCGCTACCATAAAATTCCATTTTTCTGTTTATTGTCGTTTCTTTTGGTCTGCTTACCTATAAAACTCTGTTTACCTAGATTTTGTTATCTTCTTAGATTAGACTAAATTAATTGCTAGCATTTACTCAGCAGACACTGGCCAGACTTTTGCTCCCTGGTTTCGTTACAGCCACCCCTCTCTTCATGATGAGGATGCATTCTGAGAAGTGCATTGCGAGGTGATTTCACGGTAGTGTGTGCATGACAGAGTATGTTTCATTAGATGGCTACACATCAGTGATGACATCTTATGGGTCCACTGTCACATACGCAGTCCATTGTTGACAGAAGTGTGATGCAGTGAATGACTATAATTTCTTAGCTTCTCTGGATTTGTCATAGAAGAAATTATATTGGTGCATAGCAGATAGGACAAAAGAGCAGTTTGACTACAAAGAAATCACTCTAAATATCACCCTCAACACGATGGATTTCTTCTGCCTCAAAAGACGTCACTAGGTGTTTGTTTTTTTGGTACCAGGGATCGAAGACATCACTAGGCTTTAACATAAAGTTTGAGATTGTACTCAACTATCATTACTATAGGTAGGAGAGATAACTGCCAAAAAATGAGCAATCATTATTCTTTCCCTCACATTCAGCCATATGTTGAGTGATTTTTACCAAAATAAGACGTACTCAGTTTAGAAAATTGTAAAAAAAGAATTTTTTTTTTTAATTTTTAAAGAAGGAGCTTTGTAATCATAGCACATTGGGTCCAACTTCCCTTCTAACCTAAACTTGTTTTCCTGGAAAAGGATCTGAAACCATTTGCACTAAAGTTCAAAATGGAAACAGTAGTATTTCATGTTGCACAATTTTCTACATTATACCTGGGATCAGAGCGCTAAAGGAGAAGGGAAACAGTGAGGTTTAGGCATCAACAAGACAGGACTGAGCACAAGAACGGCTGTCTCAATACAGATTAGGTAAGTGAGCGTGTCACAGCACAAGGCACACACACCAAGGGTAAAAGTAGAAACTCTCATCATTGCTCTCCTGTTCCCATACAGAGCATTAAAAACTATGAGATGCCTCTGGGAGAAAACACTGAGACTGATTCGAATGTACAGCTGCCTAAGTGCGCGTAGTCTCTGTCCAACATGTGCTTCACGCGAGAGATTTGTGTAGCTAGGCAACATTACCATCAACAATCCTCTTACGGTATTGTATGCATCTCACATCCCCCAAATGAGCTTTTCTTCACTTTCTAACTATTTCCTAACATCAGCCAGATCCTTCCTTTATGCTTTATCCTGTGCTTGTCATGTTTTAGATATATGCTATGGCTTTTGGACTCAAGCTTGGTGACCTTTCATTTTGGCAGTACTGTGAATTGGCAGAATATGTGAGTGCTCTTCACTGCAGACTTCTAATTTTACCAAATCATTTGCTTTTAATAAAATACTAAAGAGGAACATGTGTCACGTGAGACTGCTTCTCTGTTCTTCCCCTGCCAGCATCTATCATGCCTCTTGGTAAATAATAGACTGCAGAAAAGCAAGATTCTTGGTGTGAAGGGTTTGCAGCATAAGACCAGCTGCATAGGTTCTGGGGAAGAGTGTAAAACAAAAATATGGGGTCCCTTCTTCAAAATTTAGCAATGTCAGAATAGCAAAGCATTAGATGAGACCGAGAGCTTTGCTGGCTGTCTAAATGCACAACTTTGTTGGCTTGGTCTTGGTACTGTGTGTTCTGTAACAGCCAGAAGGGTACTTGAAGGATGCGCCGAAGGCCCCAGGACATCCAGGGGAAATGAGGATGTGCTCGGTTCAGAGTGTAAAGCTTCCCATTCGGTTACTGTCGTGTGAGTAGAACCTCAACTAGAATTATAAATACTTAATATAGGGTGCTGTCCCCAACTTGTTTATCTCCATCCTCTGTACATCTGTAATATGTATCAGCAGCATATTTTGTAGAATAGCTAATCTTGTACTGCTGAACAGTATGTGTGCAGTGTTTGTGTTTTATACATTTTTACTGTTTGCCAGTCAGTTTTTATTTCCCAATGAGTTGTTCAATGTCTTCGTTTCTGAGAGAGCCATCAGTTGTCACTTGTCCACACTGCTTTCCCTAATCTGACCTGTGACATCGTTGTCTTTGATACGAATATAGAAATAAGAACTTACCCTACGGAAGTAATTAACGTATTTACTCATAGAACTTAACTTGCTGAGTGCAGGTAATAAAATACCTGCTCCAAATACCTTAAGCAAAAAGAGACACTTAGCCAGTCACACCACAGCAGGATGTAAGTGGAGCTTACCCAGGGAAGGACCTAGTGCAGAATTCTTCCTGCAGTCTGTGGGTTAGGGTTTGGCAGACTGGTCTACGTCTCTCTTTGTTTTTTTTTTTTTTTTTCCTTTTTTGTACTATTGAAGATTAAAACCAAGAGCACTCTACTACAATTCCCAGGTCCCCCTTTATTTTATAATTTTGAGGCAAGTTCTCACTAAGTTGCTCAGGCTAGCTTTGAGCTTCTGTCTTCCTACTTCAGGCGCCTCAGTGGTGGGGGTTACAGGACTGTTCCACACAGCTCTGCGTATATTTTTTTGTGAAAAAAAAAACAATTTCATAATGAAATAATTAGAAAACAATAGTTCATACACTATGTATCATTATCTTCAAAGTGGTTACTCAGAGTATAAGACATAGCCAAAATGATTCTTATAAAGAAGAAACAAACAGATAATAGCACAAAACTTTATTTTCTACACCTAAAATGTACTAATAGGTTAAATGAAACAAATTAGCATATGTGTTAAAATATTTTTGAAAACAGAACAGGTAATTTGGGGAATTATTTGAACTTCTCCCTACTTCCTATTTATCTTCTATTTTGCTCTTTATATTCTCTAATAAGAGGAACCATTTAATCATTTAGTCTGTGTGTATCGCTCATTTGCATTGGGTTCTCAAGTTGCATCCGTTTACACACAAGTGCCTCAAATTTATCTTTCCTTGTAGCAGAGTAGTACCCCATTGTGTATAAATTCCACATTTCCCTTCTCCATTCATCTGCTGATGGATGTAAATACTGTTTCCAAGATCTGGCTATTATAAATCAAGCTGCTATAAACATGGGCATACATACATATAGCCCTGTAATATCCTGATACTAACTCCTTTGGGAAGATATCTAGAAGAGAGATAGTTGGGTCAAATGGAGTTTCTGTTTTTACTTTTTTGAGGAGTCTTACACTGATTTCCATAGTGGTTATACTAATTTACCTTTCCACCAATAATGTAGAAAAATTTCTTCAGCCCATCACCCTTGCCATCATTGGTTTTTATTAGATTTTTTGATGATAGCCGTTCTTTCTGGCAGATGTTGGTATTTCAGTATCATCTTAATTTGCATATCTCTAATAGACAACAGTGTTGAATACTGTTTCATGTATTTTGGCCATTCGTACTTACTCTTCTGAGAAATATCCATTCGTTTTGGTTATTCATTTTTTTGATTGGATCTTTTCCGTATGGGGGAATATATTTTTTTAGTTCTTTACATGTTCTAAATGTTATCCTTCTGTCCAAGAAATAGCTGGCAAATTTCCATTCTTTAGGCTGTCACTTCACTCTGTTGGTTGTTTCCTTGCTATGCAGAAGCTCTTTAATTTGATATGGTCCCATTTGTTGATGCTTGTTATTCTTTCTTGTGCCATTGGGATTCTGTTCAAAAGGTCCTTGCCTATACCTCTGTCTTTAAGAGTTGTACATATTTTGTCTTCCAGCAGATTAAGTGCTTATGTTTTAACATTTAGATCTTTGATTTATTTTGATTTTAGTTTACTACATGGGGATATATAGATATCCTCATATCCGGATTGAGTCTGTGTGTCTTTTTAAATGTCCTAACTATACCTCCTCTTTTCTACTCCTTCATTCTCTAACCCTGCTCCCCCTCCTCTCCACCGCTCCGTCTGTTTCTCTCCCTCCCTCCCTCCTTCTGTCTCCTTTTCCCTCTTCTTCTCTCTCCCTCTCTCTTCCCTCCCACTTTCCCCACTCTTCTCTGTGGATTTGCTTATTTATCAAGCCAGGCTATTCCTTTGACAGTGGATTCATGGCCATCAGCCACAACCATGGCTTATATTCTCAGAACCCACGATTAACTGACCTAGAAAAATCCCAGGGGTCAACTCCCAATGAGTTGTCACCATTTCTGGCCACAGTGGCCAG